ACGAGACGCAGATGAAGGACATGCAGGCCCAGTGCGAGAGCAACACGAATGAGCTCCAGCAGCTGCAGGTACCGGTCCCTCGGAGCTGCCTGTACACTGCTTCTGCTCCAGCACAGGGAGCGTGTCATGAGAAGTGGCTGCAGAGGGCTGTCGGTGAACTAGACCTGATGTCCCCTTGCTCTGCCTTGAGAGGTTTTTGTGGCCGTCGCAGATGAAGGACATGCAGGCCCAGTGCGAGAGCAACACGAATGAGCTCCAGCAGCTGCAGGTACCGGTCCCTCGGAGCTGCCTGTACACTGCTTCTGCTCCAGCACAGGGAGCGTGTCATGAGAAGTGGCTGCAGAGGGCTGTCGGTGAACTAGACCTGATGTCCCCTTGCTCTGCCTTGAGAGGTTTTTGTGGCCGTGTCTAAATGTGCCCTGGAGCTCAGAGCTCTGAGTGCCTCTGGCTGGTACAAGTCCTGTTTGACCACTGGGTTTACAGTCCCAGCTGCTTAATGGGTGTTCTGTTTCATGATCTGTGTTTAGAATGAAAAGTGTCACCTCTTGATTGAGCACGAAACCCAGAAGCTTAAGTCCCTGGATGAGAACCACAACCAGCACATGAAGGAGTGGCGAGACAAGCTGAGGCCACGAAAGAAGGTAGTACCTCCTTGGTGTGAGCAAGGTCTCCTGCTTACCTGGTAGCAGGGGACAGTGTCCCTAGCTCCAGTACAATCTCAAATACAGCTCTTGTGTGTCTTCCCTTCTGCTTAAGGCCCTGGAGGACGAGCTGAACCAAAAGAAGCGTGAGCAGGAGATGTTCTTCAAGCTGAGTGAGGAGGCAGAAGGGCAGACGCCAGCATCCCCAATGAAACATGCCAAGTTCGTCCCATTCAGCTCTACAGAGAGCTCGTAACAACCTGTAGCTGGCAGGCCACCAGCTGGTACTTGCTGTGTCCTCCTGGGCTGCAGGTGGGCAGCTTGGACTTGGAAGATCCTCTTGTCAGTCTTCTTAAAACAGCGTCCTCCTGTCCCCTCACACTGTCTGGGATAAATGTGGCCTCTTGTCCTGCACTGGGGGATGCTGACTGGAAGTTTTGGTGGTTTTTCCGGGAGCTGGCCTGCTCAGCACAGCTCCAGGCTGGGAAGACGGGCAGGACCCTTTCTGTGATTTGTACTTGCACTGCTAGCTGGATGCGTCGCCTCTCGCGTGAGCCTGGTGCTCACTGGCCTTGTCAGCTCAGACTGAAGCAATAACTGCTCTGAACAGGAGAAACAAGCAATGGCTCCTGCCCTTTGTGCAGGAGTTATCAGCCTCTCTCTCCACCGTGGATGTTCCTCCTCCTGGTCTTCTGTAAGGACTAGATTGGGACAGAGCAGCTTTGGCATTGTCTTAGGCCAGCCTTGGCCTTGTGGCCACCCCCCCACACCACCCCCTTGCCTTAGATTTATTTCTATCTACTGTGACCCCTTTTTTGCTGAAGGGAGAGACAGCGATTTGGATTTTTTGCCATTGAGGATGTCAGGTTGGGTTTTTTCTTTACTCTTCCTCCCTGTACAGACTATGCAGAAAAGAGACCAGCTGGACGTCCTTCCAAAGATGCTTCTGCTTCTTCATTTGCTGTGATGGCTGGCACCACAGTCCCTCTGGCACCTAGCTAACACTATCTTATCAGAGACTGGACTATGGCATAATTAAACTGTTCAGCTGGCTGCAGGGTTTTGTCCTTGAAGTGTATTTGTATGTGCAGAGGGGGAGGTTTGTGACAGTGCTCAGTCCTGTGGTGACACAGTGAGATATTGGTCACAGTCATGTGTCTTCTGGTAAGGACACATGAGGGGGTGAAAGGTGTAATTGCTGGAGCTCTCATGATCACACATGTGCTTAAGATTTTTTTTTAAGTACTATGTCTGTGTGGGCCATGTAGGTCAGATAGCCTGGCCACTCTGCAGTCGGGGTCATGGGCTGCAAAGCATCATTTGGAAGGAATAAAGGAGTCTTGAAACAAGGAATGCAAGGGAAAAGGAGACGCAAAGATAGGTCACAGTGGCTTGTTACTCTCAGCATCACTTTCTCCAGTGATGTCTCATTTCCTTATGATAGGCCACAGTTTCTCAGATGATGCTCCTGGCTTTCAGCTTGGAGTCACGCTGCAGGCTGGTAGAGCAGCGGCGGGTCCGGCCTCTGTCCTTTCTGCTCCATGGTGGGTGATGTATCTCGTTTGGGCTGCCTTCCTCCATCTGCACAAGGCAGTGCTTGGCTGAGCTGCTGAGTAGGACCTAGAGCACAGACCTGGGTAGGGACACAGACACCTCACTGGGCAGCACCACCTTCTTTACCCAACCAAAAGGTGTAAGGTAGCACTTAAATTTTTCTCTCTCATCTCTGGACCACATTGTTAGTTTTAGGCGTGCTTCCCTAGCAAGGAAAAAATGTCCAGGTTTAAAAAAAAAGTTGTTATTTTAAAGTCTCGTATGTTCATTTAGAGACATACTGGCATTTCAGGAAAAGGCAGTATGTGATGTGCTACATTGCTAGGTACCTAGCTGAAAGAGTCAGCCCCCAGGTCTTTAACACCTCTTGATCTACCCATTTAGAGTTCGTAATAAATATTTATGAGCGTCCTGCAAACTAGCAAGACTATATTCACTTGGGCCGTTCCAAGTTTCTCCTGAATTTGCACCATTAGTGTCTCAATACACATAGCCTAGATGGACATCCAAGGGCTGGGACCCTTTGCAAGCAGCCTGCCTAGCAGCTTTCCAGTAACTAGCCTGTCCTGCTGGGAAAACTGCCTGTACCATCTCCAAAAGCATTGACTGCCTTTCAGATGTGATAGTGCCAGGTTGGGAGCTAATGCAAAATTAATGAATGCAGAGGGTTGTTCCTGAACCAGGACAATGTGCTGGTTTGAGCCTTTTAATTGTATTAGAGAGATGTTACAGCAGCCCCAGTGGTTTTGTTCCTGGTCCCATTGGGCTCAGGCTGGAGCTATTCCATGAAATTGTTGTCACAGAAATCAGTACCCAGTGACAGTCCTTCATGTGTTACTTGCAGAAGGATGTCCTGCAGCGTACCGCTCGTAACATGCCTCCTTCAGCTGAAGGGCATTGCTGCCTCTGACTGCCTTCTTCACCAGCCCAGGGAGTGTCAGCTCCCTCTGGGTATTGGAGGAAGGAGACTCTTTCTGGGGGCTTTTAAAGAGCTGATGTGTTGCCTCCCACAGTTGTCCTTTCTCCAGTTCAGCTTATTTGCAGCCTGGAGCTAGCAACATAGTTCTGCTTTTGCTAATGGAGGGTTGGGAGTGGTTTTGTCCCTTGTCTCCGTTCCCTCTCTGGGTGTGCCAGGGCTCTAGTGCTGTCTCCCTCTCCTAGAAGATGGCCAGGGAGCACATCTGATTGTCATGTTTACAAGGTGGTTATACTCTTCCCCCCCTTCAAAAGCAGATGATTTTGTTGTTTCCTGTTCAGAACGAACCATGAATAAACCCAGCTTGGTTTTGAGGGGGGATGGGATGCCATTTTTTTTTTAAATGTGGCTTTGAATAAAAAGGGGGGTTTAAAATACTTTGTAAAGTTTTCAGTGGGGCCACCACTATGATGTAAAGACCCTTCTAATAAAGTAACAGACTGAGAAATCTGAGTATGTGTCTGATTTCCTGACTGATTGCTGGCTGTGGCCTCAGACTGGCTTTGCTTCTGGTCTGGGTTTTGCTGACTTACAGAAACCTCCAGAGCCAGTTCTGGCATGTGAACCTTGCTTGCAAGGCTGAACTTTCTGTTCTTTAAAATAGGACTAGTTGCTTCAGAAACACTTCTGCATGCTGCAGCTCAGCGGCAATATCATCTTTGCTGTGAAGCTGAAACTGGTAGACCTTAAGATGACTTCGTTGTGTGTTACAATAGTGCTTGGCTGACCCTGCTTGGTGAAGAGGGAGTATTGCAGCCTGTCGTCTGAAGAGTGCAAACCACTTATGCATAGCTCTTTCTTCCTTTTTCATGAGCTTGCCTGGGTTTAACAGAAGATTTCGGACAAATGCCTCTGCTCCCTTGCTTTGATAGGACAAGGAGATCCTGGGGATGCGTTTTGGGGCCAAGATGCAAATCACGTCTTCCCCGTGAGTGCTGGGCGAGACCTCAGCTTGCGCTCTCGAGTTGCTCAGAAAAGTCCCCACCACCTCTGTAAGCAACCACAGGGCCTGTGTGGTCTTTTTTTTCTGCTCAGAGAATTTTACCTGCTGGTTTAGTTATGATTTCTTTCATCCAAGAAAGGACACAGTGTGTGCAAGGGGAGATTTGACATGAGCCCGGGGAGCTGGTGGGGTATTCCCCTAATTTTTGGAAGGTTGCCCTGGAGCCTGCCAACTTCTACCTTGAGTTTCATGCTGGAACTGACCTTTCTATCAGTGTCCACCCTGGTTAGGTAGTATTGCAAGCTGTGAGTTCAGACATGAGGTGCTGAAAGGGAGAGGAACTTAGTAGTTAAGTTGTTGATGGTGGGGTTTTAAATGTGCAGCACTGTGTGAGAGAGGGAGAAGAGCAAAGCATGAGGGTGCCTTGTGCCATGATATAATAAGAAATGACATAGCTGAGGACACATAATTAGCCATCTCCTTCATTTATAGGTAGTAGGACTGCACTGTCTCCTAGGACACACCAGTCAAAAATGGCCTCACTCAGTGTATCCCAGTGAAGCAGAGGATCTCATGGGATTATTTAACTTCATCTGCATGTCCTTGGAAGTGCCTGAGGGGAGCTTCAACCATGAAGATACTTATATTTATATGTTGAAAGTACTATGTATTCCAGAAATAACTGTTAGCTACCATTCTGCCCTGGTGAAATGCTGAAAACCGAGCAAAAGTAAAAATCTTTCTTAATTTTTAAAAACAGAGATGACAGCCCTGAAAGATTACTGGTGCTGCAGCAGCTGTAGTATTCTCAGCTCTCCTCATTACCCCCTGCACTTTGTGTCCTGTCGTGTCTGGGCTCCAAGCTCCTCTGAGCTGCCCAAAGGCTGTGATGGGGATGATGAAACTCTGGGGGAAGAAAAAACAGGGCAGGCAGGGAGAGTCATGGAATTGGGGCTTGTGCCTAACTGCTTTCTTGCTATGGCTGCATCTGCTCTCCCTCCCTCAGTGCAGGAGGACAGCACTTGCTGCAGGAGGTGAGCATTGCTACAGGCACATCCTTCAAAAGTCATCTGCACCCTGTTAAGCCAAATGCTCTTGCATGTTCTCCTGCTGCACTGGCCACCGGTTTAATCCTGCAAATGCTAATCTACCCAGGGCTTGAGCAAGGCAAGCCTTTCCAGAGGCTGGTGGCCCTTCCTTGCTGGTGGGGTTTGTTGTCGCCCTTCTCCTGGGTGGGATGCGGCTGGGTGACAGGGACCTGTTGCCCTGGCACCCCACCTGCCCTCACAAGCATCCAGTGGGACTCGCTCCCCTGGGCCTGCTTTCCAGGCTTGCAAGGGATACCGGGGTGATGTTTGCTCTTCTTGCTCTTGTTCGCTAGATGGCACACACACTGAAGCAGTGGCCCTGGGCTCCAGAGCCCGGCTGCTGCCTGCACAAGCGCGGAGCTGGAGCTGAGCTGTCCCGTTGTGCTGAAATGGGTGCTCACTCCTTCTCCTGGATTTGTCATTCACTATGGCACACCTTTCGCCAGATCTTTGGTTCTCATCCGTGCTTCAGTACTTTGTCTCCTGCTCCAGCATTGTCCTCAGGAGGTTTCCAGGGTTCCCCTGCTCACTGGCACCTGTGTGCCCCAACAGCCTCCACCATTTGAGGGCTGAGCATCCCCTCCATGGGATCTGCTTCTGCCTGCTGCCACAGCTCTGTGCAAGGTGGGTGCAGTCTGCTGCCAGGCTGACCGTGATGGGTGGCATCCACACCACACAGTTAAAACCTGCAATAC